AGATATGTCGCTGTCACAGACAAAACTCAATGTCTTGTTTTATTGACACCTGTGTGTCTGCCTGCCTGTCTGCTAATGACAATAATCAATACACAACTGCGATCACTGACCACATGCAATTTGAACTTAACACACCTATCAGGCTATACACCATAAACAAAACGCATTGATTTATGGCCCGAGTTTGGTCTCTGTCACATTATGTAATTACACAGACAGGCAGGTGTGATACTTGAACACATGACATGTTATGATGTCTGTTGATTGCAAAATGTTATACACAAAAAATGAGCATGTATTTACAAAACCCAACATCTCTATATATACACACAATGAGCTGTGAAGGCGGCATCTGCTAATGAACCAGCCGTTACATGAGTGCACACCACCCGCTCTGACTGGGCTCGGTATCCCGGCTGCTTCGTTTCGAGGGAGGTAAACCAAAGTACAAAATATTGCACTTTTGATCTGCGATTATACGCTTATAATTTTGTTTATTTGTTTTTTCATAATCAGCAATGCATATTATATGTCATGAAGAAGTGATAATTGTGTTTTAATTATGTTTGATTTTTTGGTTGCATGTGACCTTTAAGGTGGACAAATAGATTTTAGTCCTAATTTCTGTCTACATTGAAAAGTCATAGTCATTCACAATTTGTAAGCTGTACCTCCTCATAGGAATATCACAAATGACAGTTCTATTCCTCCAGTTAGATCACAATTTGTTGAGTGCAGCTGAGTTCCCATTGAAAACAATTATATGAATGCATTCAGTCCTGCGGACTATGGCTTTCTTTGTAATGTTTCCCTCCATTTTCTAAGTTCCTGTCGCATGTCGATTGGCATTCTGGTGGATTAATTCTTGCATCATTCATCATAGAAAATGATTTTTACACATGTATTGCTTATGGTATATTAACAGTGATTCATTTCCATGATAAACAAATAGCAATTTTGATTTCCCGAAAACGCGTTTTGATGACTCAAAATGTTTAAATCCACTTCGTTGATATTGTCAGGCCTGAAAACGTTTTAGGCTAATTGTATTAAAGCATAATGATGTATTATTCAGATAATCGAGTACATTGTGTCTAAATGTGTTTGGTGTAGACAATTTTGATTAAACACAAACGTATGATTGACCGCTGAAAGACTACACCATAACTAACAACAATTACATGATTTATGCTTGATTTCATTGACTGTGATTATTTCCCCCCAAAACTGCGTGAGTTAACATTTTGAATGATTGTTAAAGCAGTAGATTTGTTTGAAAAAGTACGGGTCTCTTACTGACCCCAGAACAGTACGGGGTAACTGAGCAATGACGCTATCACCTTTATCTGTCAGTGTTCATAGAAATTATTTTGGGAAGTTGAGAACCTGGCATTCGTTATATATCTCATAACGTACGTAGATGATAAAACACAACGTTTCTCCTCCCACCCCACCCCAGTCCCCCCTTGTGAGTTTAACCAAGTGCACCCGTGAATATGTTTTCGCTTACAGAACTGGGTTGCTATTAAACGAGTTTGTTGTGTGTCACCACTGGTGACCTCGACTTTCCTCGGTAGGTGATCCTTCTTGATTGTAATTCATTCCTGCTATGTTTACAACGTCCAGTTTGGCTGATATATATATATATATATATATATAAGATTGTGTGACCTAACTGAGGAACATGTTATAGCAATGTGACATCCTTTAGCCTTTGAGTCACGCTATATGATTATTATCAGATGTGTACTATCTCTGGTACACACACCTTTTATGATGAATGAGGCGGAAGGTACAGACTGGCGAGCTCATGATCATTTTAGAAAGTAAGATTGCACTCCTGATCGAGCCTATTGTGGCGAACCTTTTCACTGCGGTTCAGCCTCATGACTACAAAGATTATCCTAGATTTAATGGAGCTTGCGTGCAGTCAGGCAGTCTCTGAACATGAATTAAACTGTTGTTGTTTCTTGGTTTCCGTGTACAATACTGATTGTCAAACACACCGACACCAAGGCAACTAGTACCTTGGCACCCAACAGAAACACAACCGTGCTAATGTGAAACAAAGGTGTACACGTGTACCACAAGTGAATCTTTAAAATGGCTGCTCCTTTGATGTTAGGTATCGACAGTTCACATTCAGTCTCACGTCCTTGGTCAGCGTTTCATGTTACCCTAACACTGTTTAGTCTCTGAGATGAATTGATGTTTCATAAATGATATTTTAAAATAACACCAGAGTAATACGAAATTGCCAGGTACTGGCAACGTGTACGAATGTTCATCGCTTTATGCTAGACTTATAGTGACGTTGTGTCAAGTAGGTAAACCAAACGTGCCATATAAGGCCATACAAGCATTAACCATGATGTGGTCCTTACTTGAGATACTAAACCGAACATAATACAAGGAATCTCTATTAAAAGTGATAAAAGCAAGTGGCACGTAACTGAAGGCATCTATATTTGCTAAGCTTGTTTGAGCCCTGCATAATAGTTATACTTTTCGTACTTATATTTCTGGGTCTCCAAGGCAGACAAGTCAGGTCGGGTCATGGGATACCGTGTCATGACTACATTAAAGCAATGCACAGATTGACTGACTGACTGACTGACTGACTGTCTGACTGACTGAGTATGGTTTTACGCCGCTTTTAGCAATATTCCAGTAACATCACGGCGGGGGACACCAGAAATGGGCTTCACACATTTTACCCATGTGGGGATTCGAACCCGGGTCTTCGGCGTGACGAGCCAACGCTTTAACCACTAGGTTACCCCACCGCCCCCACAGATTGACGTATATGCGTGTACTGAATAGATAGTTTTGATTATATGTAACTTGCATGAAAGTTTAAAACAGTTGACTGAAGTAAGTGGTTAAATTTACACTAGTGAGCCTAAACTTTTGATGGGTAGTATATGTAACTTGCATGATAAGCAGTTGTGTTATTTGCAGTTCCCTCTGTAAGATACAGTTGTAATTGACGTTGCATTGTGTTAACGATTTATCAAGTATTGGGACTTATCTCGAATCAAACAATGACGTTTATCATCATTAACATATGTCAAAGGTTACAAATATGTTGGACGAGTATGTATCCGGGCTTGTCCTCAGCAGCCTATGATTGTCGTAAGAGGGTTCTAGCATTATCGGGTGGTCAGGCTGGCTGACTAGGCTTATGGTAAGAATGCGATTTGGTTAAAAACTAAACGTCTATAGACACAGAGTTAGCCAACACAGCATTAGCCGTTATTGTGTTTCTGTTTACTTGAGTCCAGTCAGTGCTTTGTATGGCCAACATTGGCAGCATTTACTGTTCGGCACCGTCTCGGAAAAGACTGGTTAAGTCGACGAAGTCGCTCTTGATGAATTGTTCCCAACTCTTCGTGCAATGCGATGGCCAGGTGTGGAAGCCTCTGAGGCGTGTTCTGACGTTGACGTACATGTCGATCGAGTTCATCCCATCGGGTTTAGATCAGGTGGTCGGGAAGGCCATGGCAAGACATTAACGTTGGAATTGGCAAGGTAGCGGACCGTGACAAACTTCATTTGTTGGCTCATAATCGGAAGCATGTGACATGCAAGGACCTCGTTGATGTACCGATTTGCTGTCAAATTCCCCTGGACCAGCACTAAATCAGATCTTTGTGTGCTGGATATCACACTCCACAACCGACACTTCCCCTACCGAATCTGTCGACCTGCTGAATGCAATTAGGTGCAAACAATTCATTTCTCCGACGGTAAACACGCTGTCTTCCATCTTCCCGGTGAAGATGAAGATTCATCACTGAACCAGACTTCTAAGGTTCCAGTTCCGGACTCTAGGACACCACAGCATGTGACTGCGCCGATGGAAGTCTTTCAAAATAGGGAAGACCACTGGCCTTTGTGGTCGATACCCCACTTCATGAATGGATTCCTGACAGTTTGGTTGGAAATTCTTCTTGGTTGTTCAATGCACAGATCAGACCCGTTGTGATATCAAATCTGAGCTGTTTTGCCTCCCGTCACACGCATGGGGCTTAGCTTCGGTGGCTTTAAGGGTGGGAAAACGTGACGACATCCGCACGTGTCGCACATGTCGTAAAAGCTAAGACACAGGGCTTTCAATCCATAGTAACAACAAAACCCTGTGGTCGATGTACGAAACATAACAAGTACCTGCAGCGTGAAAAACTGCCGTAAATCGGGCTTATAAGCGCCCCGGCGTCGAACCTGTTAAAGACAGGTCACTTCTGATGATACCACCAGTTAGCCCTGGGAACCAGATTCACGTCGATGTGCAACATGTCAATGGGTTTTGCATAGTCGTCGTCCACGCGACGTTTAAACAACGGCACCCACCGTTTCTGACCCCTGATATAGGCCTCCCAAACGCGGAATGGTGCCCTACTGTATTACCTTTTGTAATTTTTGCTTTTGAAAAGTTTCGAATATTATTGCTTATATACGAGACTTAAAATCGTCTGTGAGAAGTCCCTGTTTACAGACACCTGATTTACTTACTCTGTCAGTCAGTATCAGTCCCAGGTGTCTGCGAGGACGTGTCTCCATCAGATTTATTCAACCTTACAGCACCATCAATAGTTATACAACATCAACATATTATTAACCCAAAAACATTAAACGTACATCATCAAAATGGTAGATATGCATCTTACAGTTTTAATGAAAGCCGGCTAAGTCAAATATACGTACACAAATCCTGATAGCTTTTTAAATTCATAAATTTTGCTCTGGAAAATGTTTTCCAAATCAATTAATTAAACAATACATAGTATTTGATTGGGATGTGCAAAAGCCAATGTTGGTTAAAGGACATATGAAAAGACAGCAAAACTCACCTCAAGCTACATCTGAATCACACAAATAACTTTATCCATTTTTATCTGTTTGTTTCATTCCGTACCCTTGAAGTGTTACAAGTTGTTTCAAAATGTTTACAGTAGCACTTATTCCGCAGCATGTCAAACATGACAGGTCATGTGATCCGTGTACAAGCGAGTGGGATCCTCCTCTGTTGGCAGTGAGCGACAGAGTGAGACAGGTTGGTCGTCAACATTGTGAAAAACCCATTGCAGGTACCGTAATGCCATGTGTATGTTGATACATTTGTGTATGGGAGATCACCTATGTGATATATATCAATGAATGTGTAACGAAGAGCTCGGGTATGGGTTGTACACTAATGCATTTGTGTAACGGGGATCTCGCGTATATGGTGTACGTCAATGCATTCATGTATCGGGGATCTGGTGTACATTATACTAATGGGGGTTTACATTAATGAGTGTGTGTAATGGAGTCCACCCATGTGATGCATTTTGATTGATTCCTATTTCGGAGTTGACCTATGTGTTGCATACTTAATGCCTATCTGAAATTCATATCATGACTGTGGTGTTGTTTGCTCACGTGCATATTGACCTGCCCGGTCGATATGTGTATAAATGAATATGCTTAATATATTTCACTGCCATGTTTTGTACTGAGATATTTGTGGGGAAGATACCTACCTATTTACTACGCACTTAATAATTAATGTAAACTTGTTGTGTAAATAGGACTTGTCCAATTACTGCTTGACCCATGGCAATGTTATAGTGATCAAGTTTATGACAATTGTTTTCACCAGTTGCAGGGTCAGCATACCTATGACTCAAACTTAAGGAGGACAAATAGATTTTAGTCCTAATTTCTGTTTACATTGGAAAGTCATAGTCATTCACAATTTGTAAGCTGTACCTCCTCATATAAATATCACAAATGATGGTTCAATCTATTCCTCTATATCACTATTAGTTGAGTGTAGCTGGGTTCCCATTGAAAACAATTATATGAATGCATTCAGTCCTGCGGACTATGGCTTTATTTGTAATGTTTCCCTCTATTTTCTAATAGCAATTTCAATATCCCGAAAACGCCTTTTGATGACTCAAAATGTTTAAATCCACTTCTTTTATATTGTCTGGCCTGAAAACGTTTAAGGCTAATTGTATCGAAGCATAATGATGTATTATTCAGATAATCGAGGGCATTGTGTCTAAATGTGTTTGGTGTAGACAATTTTGATTAAACACAAACGTATGATTGACCGCTGAAAGACTACACCATAACTTACCACAATTACATGAGTTATGCTTGATTTCACTGACTGTGATTATTTTCCCCCAAGACTGCGTGAGTTAACATTTTGAATGATTGTTAAAGCAGTAGATTTGTTTGAAAAAGTACGGGTCTCTTACTGACCCCAGAACAGTACGGGGTAACCGAGCAATGACGCTATCAGCTTTATCTCTCAGTGTTCATAGAATTTATTTTGGGAAGTTGAGAACCTGGCATTCGTTATATATCTCATACCGTACGTAGATGATAAAACACAACGTTTCTCCTCCCACCCCACCCTGTTCCCCCTTGTGAGTTTAACCAAGTGCACCCGTGAATATGTTTTCGCTTACAGAACTGGGTTGCTATTAAACGAGTTTGTTGTGCGTCACCACTGGTGACCTCGACTTTCCTCGGTAGGTGATCCTTTTTTATTGTAATTCATTCCTGCTGTGTTTAGAACGTCCAGTTTGGCTCATATATATATGACTATGACTATATGACTGTGAAAAAGAGAAGGTTTTGTGACCTTTGCTAACTGAGGAACATGTTATAGCAATGTGACATCCTTTAGCCTTTGAGTCACGCTTTATGATTATTATCAGATGTGTGCATCCTATGAGGCGGAAGGTACAGTCTGGATAGCTCATGATCATTTTAGAAAGTAAGATTGCACTCCTGATCGAGCCTATTGTGGCGAACCTTTTCACTGCGGTTCAGCCTCATGACTACAAAGATTATCCTAGATTTGATGGAGCTTGCATGCAGTCAAGCTGTCTCTGAACATGAATTAAACTGTTGTTGTTTCTTGGTTTCCGTGTACAAAACTGATTGTTAAACACACTGACACCAAAGCAACTAGTACTTTGGCACCCAACAGAAACACAACCGTGCTAATGTGAAACAAAGGTGTACACGTGTACCACAAGTGAATCTTAAAAATGGCTGCTCCTTTGATGTTACTTATCGACAGTTCACATTCAGTCTCACGTCCTTGGTCAGCGTTTCATGTTACCCTAACACTGTTTAGTCTCTGAGATGAGTTGGTATTTCGAAATGATATTTTAAAATACAACTTGCCAGAGTAATACGACATGCCAGGTACTACTAGCAAAGTGAACAAATGTTCGTTTTATGTTGCCTCATGTGGGTAAACCAAATGTGCCATATAAGGCCATATAAGCATTAAGCATGTGGCCCTTACTTAATTCTCAAAACCGAACATAATACAAGGAATCTCTATTATACGTGACAGAAGCAAGTGGTATCCAACTGAAGGCATCTGTACTTGCTAAGCTTGTTTTAGCCTTGCATAATAGGTATACTTTCCGTAGTTATATTTATGGCAGACAAGTCAGGTCAGGTCATTGGATACCGCTTCATGAATACATGAAAGCAATGTAGAGTGTATGCGTGTACTGAATACCTAGTTGTCATTATAAAAGTTTAGACTCAATTAAAGCACTCATTATATGTTATGTACAGTACAACCAGAAATTATTGAGAATTTAAAGATTGTAATTTTTTATAATTCTTTCACTCATTACTCAGATATTAAATGTGAATATTAGCAGAACATAACTCCAGATTCAAAGACAGGTGAACAGTTAGTAGTTTGTCAAGTCACCATGGGCAGCAATGCAGGCTTCAATGCGGCGGGGCATACTACTGATCAAAGAAGTTAGAAAGTCGTGGTCCATGCTGTCCCAATATCGGACCACCTCTTCTTTCATTTCAGCAATATTTGTCAGAATTGTCTTTTACTGACACTTTTCTTCATAAGTCCCCAAACACTTTCTATTGGATTTAGGTCAGGGCTATAGCTTGTTCAATCTAATAATGTCATATTTGGGGTTCGAAACCAGGCCTTTGAATACTTTGAACGATGTTTTGGGTCGTTGTCCAGCTGGAAAATCCAAACATTTGCATAGAACACGTGAGCAGATGGAAGTTAATGTCCCTCGAGAATATCCGTGTACCGCTCACTGTTCATATTCCCTTCAAATACACAGAGGGGCGTTGCCCCTAACACAGATATGCCACCCCACACGTTAAATTTCGGACTGTACTTTGGGCACTGATACAAAGGTTTTTTCAGTTTGTTTGGTCCATTATTCCAGTGTATTAGGAAACTGCCACACAAAACTTTCATCTGAGAAAATCACATTGCCCCAGTTAATATTTCTATGCTGTAAGCCAAGTCAAGTCAAGTCAAGTTTATTGTATTCAAGGCCTCCGGCCAATATACAAGGAGTTAAATACATATACATAACTACAGTACATAAAACAATGGCAATTATAATGGTTATTGCTTAGATAACCTATCATTTCTCAAGACAACAGCATGTTTTACAAATAGAGAAAGGTTGCGAATAACTGTTTCATTTCTGGAAGTGAGAATCGAGACAAAGGCTATTGTTGGATATTTTGATAGATAATAACTTGAAATATATTTTCTTCTAAGATCATCATAATATGGACATACAAATATAAAATGAATTTCATCTTCAATAGATGAAGTGCATAATGGACAAATTCTCATATTTCTGTCTATAGACAATCTTCTACCTTTATTAATACTAAGCACCAGTTCAACCTTCTCTCCTTTTGTTCAGGTTTCATGATCGGTGATGGAATTCCTCGACTTTTCTGCCAACCCACTGCATGCAGCTCAGTTCTAATTGTCTCCTTACAGACAGCCACAGTTCCTCTATCAGTCATATCCAGCCTTAAGTTTTCTAAACTCCTTCCTTTGTTTTTAGACACAAGAATACCAAGCCGCCTCCTGTCACCGACAGGCCTACCTGCAGGCCTCCCTGGTGCCCAATGCCATATCCATTTGCAATATTTTTCAAAACACGATAAACAGTGGACAAAGGGATGCCTGTTCTACTTGAAATCACTTGAGCTGATCTAATGTCCTCGTTATAATACTCTAAAATCAACTTCCTCTTCTCTAAATCATCCATACTGAGGATAACTGAAAATGTCGTCTGCTAGCAAGTAAACAAAGGGGGATAACTCTTCACAAACTAATGATAAAGGATAAACGGAGTTGTCTCTCTTGAATGAAACCAAGCACTTGATAGCTGGTCAAGGTTGTTTATAATAGAAATCAAATTAAACATATTCCTAAAATTCTGAAAAATTTCTGATCATACTATATATGCTAAAATTCTCAAAAATTTCTGATAAATAATATAAACTGCGACCTTTGGGCGACATTGCCGTATATTACAAACATACATTGATTTATTATTCTGCTTCGGTTATATACACTTTAATTTGATAAATAAACATTAAAAGAGGATAAAATCTTGTAAATATATACAAATAGAGAATATAGTTTTTGGTGTCGCCCATACCGTGTCGCCCAAAGGTAAAGTGTACGGCGTACATGTATATATGCGACCTTTAGGCGACTGTCGCCCAATGGTCGCTTATGTAATATACATATATATGTCGCTGTTTAATACTATATACGTGTATACATTTCCATGGCTGCTTATTTGATATATGTCGCCCTTTGGTTGTTTATGTGTTGATAGTTTTGTGCTTAATTTTCTCAAATATGATGCAGTCAAAAAAAACAGGCCAGTTAGAATTAACACTGAGATTATGATTACTTGTAATATTTCTAAAAATATTATGTTGTAACAGACATTTATCATTTATCATAACTTGTTTCCCACTCAAGCGCCGATGTGCCCTTGCTTTAGATTAGTTTCCGTTGTTTACCATTCATGGGTTGCTAAGGATTAAATTTTAAGGATATTAACCAACAACTAAATATCAAATATTCCAATACTCAAACACTGAAAATCTCTATAGGAAATCAACACCCTTATGAAGACAGATATGTAGTCTTTCTTTCTGGGGGTAAGAAAACGACATCGTATCGCTTCCCGTGAACGAAGACGATTTTGGCAGTAAAGACATCAA